GAGCTTGGGAGCCGCTGCTGCCGCCTCTTGTCTGTGCTGTCGCTGGTCGGACTTGTCAGCCGGGACTAGACTGGGCTTTCTCATCGTATTTCACGTCTGTCATATTGCCTGGGAAACTTCCTCAGCCCAATGCAACTTTGAGCAAAAAGGGGAAAAAAAAAAAAAAAAAAAGCCATTTCCTTTAATGTTACAGCTGCTGGAAAACACAGCCGGCAAGTTCCTCTTAAAATATAATTGCAACATCACTCCTTTAGAGGAAGCGAGACCTGGAACATAGGACCGCAGGGAAAGCACTTAATCTCTACTCCTTTTGTGTAATGTGAGAAAAGACTAGTCTTTTCTATGCCGTAGGACTCTCCATTGGGAGATTTAATGCCTTTTAAAGTATTCTGAGGCTTTTCAGAAAGATCTTAAGTGCAAATTGCTCCTGCTATAAGGCTCTAATCCGGTGAATTGAAAATGAGTTTGGGTATCTGAGGAGGCGGCTGTGCTGTTGGGTTTTTTTTTTTTTTTGTCGTTTTCTCTAGGAAATGCAAATGCAACCATACCAGTGCTGGACACGGTTTGTCTGAAATTTGGGTGTATTCACTCGCTACCTGGTGGTTCCGACACCCGTTTCTGAAACCTGTGTATCCTTTCTACTATCTTTGCTTTGACTGACCTTGTTCAGTGGAATCCTTTGTATTACTGGTACTTCCAAATCTTGTGTAACATCTGCCACCGCAATAGAAATACATAATGTAGTTAGGGTTTTGGATGGCTATCTTGCTTCCTGTTTGGTTTTCCTCACAGAAATCTTTTTAGAACTAAGAGACTGAGATTAATCCTTTTTTTTCCCTCCTTCTAATTCAACAGATGCAGTTTATGTTGCTTTTTAGTCGCCAGGGGAAACTGAGACTCCAGAAGTGGTATGTCCCATTATCTGACAAAGAAAAGAAGAAAATCACAAGGGAACTTGTTCAAACAGTATTAGCCCGCAAACCGAAAATGTGCAGCTTCTTGGAATGGAGAGACCTGAAGATTGTCTACAAAAGGTTGTTCTGTCTCACTAACCTTGTAATTGGCATACATCACAAACAAAGTAATAAGTAGCAAGAAAATAATGAAGGTTGATTTTTTTTCTTTTTTTTGTTGTGTGTGGTTTTTTTTTCCTTCCCTCTGCTGGTTATGGAGAAGACTGACTTTTCCCTCAAATCTAATTTGATAACCAAGTAGGAATCATTCATGTGTGGAAAATCACTCATGCGTTTAGAAATGTGCTGAAGAAAAGAAATGAGGTTTCCTTCTACTTTCATAAGGAGTGGTGGTTCTTAGTTCTCTGTTTAGATTCATGCAGTACCTAAATGCATACAAATATGAAGCTTGTAAGACTTAATAGGTGAAAAAGAAAAACTGAATTTTACAAACACTTGCTTCAGGCAGTGACTTTATAAATCACCTGAAAATGTAACTTGCTTTTAAAGGTTTGTAGAAATAAGGAAATCATTCTTTCAGAGTACCTAGTTTGTTTTTGTTTGGGTTTTAAATTTTTTTTTTTTTTTTTGCTATGAACACAAAAAGGTATTTCTCGTAATTGAAGAAATCATGGCTAGCTTTCTTTTGGTCGAAGTCCTGTATAATTTTCTTTACGATAGCTTAATTTCTCAGTTGTTCCCTAACTTTTCTAGGAGTATTTGGCAAGCATTTTTTAGCTTTGTGCTGATCTTTAGAATGTATTACAACATAGAGGTGTGAAAATAATTTTCTCCACAAATAACAGTAATCCTCATCCTGATTTGGTAGGCTGCATCTCTTCCAGCTAAAGCTGGTGCTATGAAACCTTGAATTGTCTCCCTTCCCTAGTTAGTTATAAACTTCAGAAGGTTTATGCATTCTTATTTTCTCTTTGAGATGGTAAATAATTTGTGCCCTATGATAAATACCGTTGTATCCTGTTTGTAGGGAGGACAGAGAGAACTGGAGCTGAAATAGCGAGTTTGCAACTCTTTTCCAGTGTACCAGATGGGTAGAATCGAGCAGGTTTAGATGTTTTAAGTCCTGTTTTCATCTATACATTGGTGCTTGTAGCATCATGCACATGAATGTTACCAGCCTAATGCATGTAGTGCCTTTAACGCAAGGAGGAGGAATGATGTGTAAGGCTGTGCTTAAAGAAAACATACAGTTTTTTCTGCTGCCTCTCAGTTTCCTAACAAAACTTTTTGTACGTACCTGTAGACAAGCGTGCTCAAAATGCTTTGTGTGCTCCCTTAGCAATAACGCCTGCAAGTGTTCTTTCAGTTGGGCTTTTATCGGACTGGATCAGAAAAACTAGGCATGAGTGGGCCAGTCTGTTCCGTTTCTGGGCCAGTCTGTTCCGTTTCTAGCCCAGTCTTCAACAACAGTAGTTGTTCTGGTGATGAGTTGATTGCACACAGCTGCTTTCCATCCCTGTCTGTTTATTGCTGGTAACAACTACTTGTCATGTCCTTTTGTGTCTAGGGAACTGGTGGAAATTTGGGTATGACTTTGAATTGCTGAAAGTTGTGGTGTTCCTGCATCTCAGTACTGTGCTGGGGTCCTGTGGTCAAGGAGAATGAGGAAATTTGCTGGGAGATGTATCTAGACCATTTTGGGCTGGTTGTAGACTGCAGTCCATCTGCTAGACTGCTGGTGTGCACAGCTGACTGCAGTAGCTTATTTCACTGCAAACCACTCTGGCACAGTTGGCCTATAAAATACGGCTTAGGATTAGCTTGTGTCAAGCTAATGAACGTCTCGAATCTTGCTTTACTTTTGCTTTTTTGGCAAGTTTCGTTAGTCTAAAACATCACCAGAAGGACTGGGTGTAAGAGGTAATAGTTTAAATTACTGTATCTGATAACATTAACAGCTTTTACGTTTGTGGGACGGACTTTTTCCAGTCATCACTCTGTAATTAAAGTTGATGAATACCAACTAGTACGATCTCTTTGAAAAGGGAGATCTATTATAGCTCAAAAGTAGATAATCCCGAGAAGACAACTGTCACAGTCAAGGTCTAATACTTTCTGGAAGGTGGGTGGCTAAAAGAGAAACACACCTGCAGGAACTCTGTGTGGTTTGTGAAATTGTAAAAGGTCCTCACAATTGCTCACAGACAAAAGGTGCTTGAGCATCTCTACTAAGACCTGTTCTTGTGTGATCTGTTACTGGGAAGGATCTGAACTCCCTGGTGCAAATGTTTTTCAATATAAGCTATAAAAGTATGCACATAGTGCTGTTGTACATGTTGGATGTGCATATTGCTATTATGAATCTTAAATTGCAGAAATTGATGTGCTATTCTCGGTTTTAGAGTGTATTTACCGTCAACATGTAAGAGAATTGACCTAGATATTGCAACTCAAAGAATGGTTGGCATTATTAGAAGTATGCTCAAGGGTCTCATTGATGTACCTTCTTGCAAGAACAGAATGAACTCAAATGCAAAATTGGCAAGCTAGTAGCTTTTTCTGCCTTCTGATACTTAACATTTATCAAGAAAGCTGGACTGTTTTGATTAGCCTCCTTAGCTCTGTAGCATTTCATCCTTATTAGGATGCTTTCTGAATGAAACTTCAAGTAAATAGAACAGTGTTTTAAAATCCATCTGAATGTGTGTGACTAACTTTTATTTTCAGTGGTTTCATACACGTAGCATTGATAATGGTTGCAAAAGGGTCAGTCATTGCCACCTTAATTTCTTTTCATTAGTGCTACAGGACACAGATGGAAAGGTGCTCTGCTTTTGGTGTGGTTCATGAATTGGGATGTATGTATTCTGTAGCTGGTTTAGAAGAGAATTTTTCAGGCTGGTAGATGCCAGAAGATTGAAAAAGGATGTGAGCTTTTAATTCCAAGAGACAAACAGGGATTTGAAGTGACTTGCTGGGGAAAAAAAACCCAAGGAAATTCAAGTATGGGAAGCCAACAACAATTGCACTTTGTGAAAATAGAGAGGGAGTTATCTGCAGACAGCTGGTTGGAAACTTAGTAAACACAGTTAACAATTGCTCTTCATGTTTTTTCATTTTAAAAACTGACTGTAGTGGCATTGGAACATACAGGGTAGATGTTCATGCAGCTTTTCCCTTGTGGCAGAGATATGTGTTAAATGTTAAAACTTCTAATTTTACTAAAAGAGCTTAGGATGTGATTTTTTTCTTTCACGATCTTAGCTGTTCACTATTTCAGCTTGTCAGTATGAGATTTTTTTCATGGTGTAGTACATTGCAGAATAACTGATTTTTATGTAAATTTCACTTTGTTAGCATTTGGTTAACTGAGATCATGGGACTTGGTTATTATTGGTTGGTAATTTGATTAAGGATTGTGGCTTTTAGGTGTCAGTTTGGAACTGTATTTGCAGTATAAAGTTATAAAACTGTCATATCTTGTGCTGCCTTTAATGTTGTGGCAATTGTCTTTTACTTTAACATAAAATAACCATAATCACAGATTATGTTTAAGACTTTAAAATTTTATTTTTACCCTTCCACCTTGGAAAGAAACAACGGAAGAGCCCATTCTGCAAATAGGGTGCCTCTTCGCTCAAAGTGTTGTGAACCTAAGTTGCAGTCATGTGGCTAGTGCTATGTGCCCAGCAGTTGGCGTGATTCTGGTCTTTATGTATGTCCTAGCTGCCAGTTGCATGTGTTAAAAATGTTACTGTGGCTCTGTAAAACTGACTGAATGCGATGTTCAGAGTTAATTAGGTACTTTGGTTTGAGTGTTTTAACTTGACTGGGACCTCTTTGTATGGGATTCTAGTTCATGTGGCACTAAGAGGGCCTCAGCACCAAGAAGCAGCAGCTTTTTCTTAGAGGATTACCAGTACCAAGCTTTTGTTAATTTCTAAAGCTACTGGGGGGTATAGCCTTGCTGAAATGAGAAACTGTAAAAGAAATGCTTAACTTCAGTAGTGGTGGTGTTGTTGATTTCTGTATCCTTGACTGAACAGTGACCAATCTGCCTGTCCTAGAGTCTCAGAACTTCTTGTTTTATTCAAGGGAAATGTGTGAGGTTTTTTTGGAGGAGAAAAAAATCTTTTGCCAAGCACAACTTTTTAGTGGTCCCAGTTGTCACTGGGTCAGCTATCACCAAACCACAGATTCTTGGGCTGCCTTAAGCACCTGTCTGTCTCTTAAAGGCAGCTTAGTTGTCTTTTGCAGTCCAGCTCTGCTCCTGACAAACTCTGTAAGCTTTAAATTTCTGCAGTTAGGATCTACATGCAAAGTGACTTAAATGCTGACAGACTTACGACTTGCTTGCAGCCTTACCTGGTGACAGACTTCCAGGGATGATTTCAAGCAGGTGTCCTCTCATCTAGTAGGAGAAGACCATTGAACTGGTAGGATTTGCAAGTTATGCTCTGCCTGCAGTGACCTGATCTCCCAGCAGCGTTACTGAACCTGGTTGTAAGCAGAGCAGTAGTGGAGAACTCTGCTGAAGCATTGCCTGCCAGTTGTGAGGCTTCCCACTACTGAACTATTGCAGCTATGGAGGGGGAGGTTCATGAACTTGTTTCCTATCACAAAAAATCCCTAAGGTCATCTATCTGAAGGTGGAATTTGTGTAAGTGTTTATATACCTCCTGTGTTTCCTTTTTGTTCTTTTATTGCATATTACATTTTGAGGTGATTTTTTGGAACTGTTTTTGATCTCTCTGGTTTTGGTCCCCTTTCTGACAAGTGGAGGATATTTATCATAAAATATTTCCCTAAAGAAGTATAAGCAGCTGAGTTGGGTCTGAAGATTCTGCTAGTAATAACCTGCTGAGACACACACATGTGCACATGATTGCAATGGGAATAGAAAGGGCAGAATGTTTCTTACAGACTGTGCTACATTTGCTTTTGTGTGATGTGGCGAACCTGACTATCAGGATTTGCCTTTTCCTTGGGTGCCTATGAAAGACAGCTTTCTGTCACGCTCATTAGGAAAAAAACAATGCTTCTGCAGAGCAGAAATCTTTTTCAGCCAGAGCGCAGTAATCTACTCATCTTTGTATGGACACTCTCCATATAAGCTTCTACACTTGGCAAACCCTCTAGTTTATCTGCTGTAGGTTATATGTGGATGCTTTTTCTGAAGCCCTGCCCTGCAGAGCAAAAAAAATTACAGTAAACTATTGCCTTTGAGAATTTGGGTCTAAAGAAAGGTATACCTTTGTATAGGGCTCTGCAATGATGGCTGACTTGTTTATACTCTTCTACTGTTTGCCATCTAGGCTTAGTGAATCTGCATTCGTTTTGTTTTGTTGAGTAGTGATCCTTTATTCACGGTTGCTACTTAAAAAATACTTTGAAAAGTATTCTTTGCATATGATAGCTATCCAGGCCTCCATTTTGTGTTAAGATGCTCACAGAGTAGTTTTTGTTTCTCAGTATTCTTTCTCCGGAACTGCAGTTGGCAGAGCTTGAATGTGTACTCACTAGCTGCCAAATGAAGTCTTTCAAAGGTATGTTATGTTTTCTTTTAAATGAGGGCACTGAGAGCAGACCACTTTTTGGGGAAGTATATTATGTTAGGTGGTCTCCCTCCCTCCATCCTCCTGCCCCCACCTTTTTTTGGTGGGTATTTGCATAAAATAGTTCTGTGCATCAAAAGAGGAGTAATAGGGAAGCACAAAAGGACTGTCCCATGTAGATAAATTTCAAATACTAAGTAAAACTTTATTTGATAAGGTCTGCTGATATGTGATTCAACTTGTGTTTAAGCACTGTAAGGGAACAGTTTAACTGCACTTCATCATAATCAGTGCTGCTCATCTGAATATGAAGAAAGCTGTGTTTAGATGGATTTGGCCTGAGCACTGGTAATTAGCCTAAATGTCAGCTAATGTGCCAAAGCTCTTTTTTCCCCCACAGTGAAATACAATAGCGTGGAGTTTGACTTATAAATTCCTCAGTAGGTTTGAAAACTTGCTTTTTCTTTGCAGTATCGCTTTCCAATACTTTTCAAAATAGCTCTGTCTAAAAGATGCCTTATACAGATTGAATCTTGCAAGCTACTACAATGACTGTAAATGTCTTTGAAAAATTAGTGAGGCACAAACACAACAGTGTAAAATCAAGAGAGCTGTGCTCAGATAGGACTTCTGATGAGCTGACAAGTCACCATGGTGAAGAGATGAAAGAGCAAGGGAATTAAAGTGTTAAGTGCTTCAGTGGAGATGTCTTCCTCTCTTCTCCATCATGTTTTGTGGTTGGATGGAAAGAAGTAGTAGGCAGTAATTTTCTTGTAATAGTTTAAAACTTTCGATTAGTTTTTCATGATGAAGCCGTAGCAATTTGAGTCTGCTAGAGCAAAGTGGGGAGACTTTCAGGTCATAGATGATGCTAGGTGAGTGACTGGGAGACAAATTTGATCATAGTACAAAATACAACTTTTTTTTGCAGGACTTCTAGCCAAAACCTGTGACAGTTTCTTTGCAGGCTTACATATTTTATCAGCTGGAACTCTGTGTAACCTTTAAAAGGTGTATGCATTTCTGTGTATGGGAAACAAATATGCGTCTTGAACTTGGTGTTCACATCTGAGTGACTTCTGTTTCAGTAGGGCTGGCTGCTCAAAGGGTGCTTGATGTGGCCAGTTGTCCTCTCTAAATGGGCAAACAAAAGCTGTTTCTGGTTCATGTAAATTATCAGTTACAACAGGTGTTACTTGAAATCTCATTTGTGCCATGTGTGTCTGTATGGCATATGGTGTTGGCACTTCAGAGAAGACTAAATGGGTTTTTCAGCTTTCATTCCTGTTCTGGTTTTGTGTCAGCTTTTTTAAATGTGACTTGAAAAAGCGTATGGTAGAGCACAGTAGAACTGGATGGTCTTTTTGTTAAAGTGGAACTCGAGATGCTATCTGAAGTAAAGAATTCCCTGTCTTCCAGGGTGGCAGTGGATTGCTAGAAACTAGCTGATGGCCTTTCATTAGTCTGATACCAGGACAGCTGGTAGTGATTGAGTTGTTGACTTAGTAGCAATTGGGGTATATGATGTTAGTGTTAGTTTTGGAGTTGTTTGGGCATTTGTTAAATTCTCTGTAAAGACCAAATCCTAATTGTTAATTCAATTTATCTTTCCCAAGGCATCTTCTATAGCTGATAAAAATGAAGATTGAATCTGTTGATTAGTATACCTGTGTTTGGATGATACAGATAGTACAGAAAATATCTTGCCTCAGAACTCTGCCAGGAGGCCAAAAAATCAAATATATTTCCTTTTCCAGCTACCTCATAGGCTTATTTAATTCTGTCAGCTAAAGGATGGTAAAGACTGAAGTCTTGCTTGGCTCAAGAGGCAGGGCAGATCCCTTTTGTACATGCGTATGTCTGGTCTTTCAGCCATTCTTTGGTAGAATTTGCATGGCTGTTGATTTAGAGTAATGGTATGCTAAACTTGAGTATGAAGGACTACTGAGAACATAATATGTCTCAAGTGCATTAATTTTGCTCATGTTCTAATGCTAACATCAGGAATATTTTGTTATTACAGATATGCAAGCCTCTACTTCTGCTGTGCTATTGAAGATCAGGACAATGAACTAATAACTCTGGAAATAATTCATCGCTATGTAGAACTTCTTGACAAGTACTTTGGCAGTGTGAGTTAGTAATTTCTTTTTAATTTTTATAGATGCACATTCTCTTATGTATGTTTGTTTTATGCCCACAGCACTTTTAAATGTAATCAACTAGCTCTTGAAAAGGTGCATCTGACATATTTTATGTTGCTTGCTTGGCCAGACTAAACTGGTGGTTGCCTATATAACTGTTAAAATACAAAATTAAATTATTAATTTGGGAGAACAACTGTTACTAATCTGGTGTTAACTGCCTGTATTTATTTCATTTTGTAGTAGTCTCACTTGAGGTCAGCTAAAAATCTTATCCTTAGCTTTCTGTCCAGGCACCCAGCTTGCTTTCTCCCTGGCGCTGCTCTAGTGTGTGAGCACTTCTTACATCTGCTTCCAAAGGAGGCAGTTGGCTGTGAGTTAGCAGGAGTGGTAAGGAAGAAAAAGACGGACATCTGCTTACCCAGATAGCAAACACAAACAACTACAATGTATATTAGCACTTTTAGAAAAACTGCTGCTCATCCTTCTGCCTCCCTAGTCCTTCTGGCTAGGAAATGCACAGGATGAATAAGAAATTTTGATATTCTTGTGTTTTCACATTTTTCTGTAAGATTGCATGATCTGCCTTTGGATACTGCAGGCAAGAAGAGAAGTTTTATAGGGCTATTCTCTTCCCTCGTGGAGAGCCACATCATACTGACAGTTGTGAATTGAACCCTTCTTAACAATGAAAATATTTTTCAAAGAGGTTGCCTGAACTGTTTTTAACTTGAGCAAAAAAAGATTTTTAAATTTTTTTTTTCTCAAAGGAGTGACCTTTTTTTGTTGCCCTATTTCTTAAAAGGTTATAGTCTGAGCCTAACGTCTTGGTTTGGTAAAGCTGTGAATAAGTTTCGTGAGACGATACACCTCAAATAGATAGTATCCTCCCACTTTGCAATAATGCTTGATGTTCTTTTTAGGTGTGTGAACTTGATATCATCTTCAATTTTGAAAAAGCCTATTTCATTCTGGATGAGTTCCTTTTAGGAGGGGAAGTTCAGGAGACTTCCAAGAAAAATGTTCTCAAAGCCATTGAACAGGCAGATCTTTTACAGGAGGTAAGCAAATTCAACTTCTTTGGCCGAAGTGTCAGCATGGTAGGCTGTGACTCGAAAAAGCTTGTTTCTCTAAGCTTGTAGATGGTGCTTTTTAGCATGTTTAATATTTAGTTTCTAGTTGTCCTAATTCTGCAATGTGATGTTACCTGCTCTTTTAATTTTGTTTGGCATGTGTATATTGTAACCTACTGTGATTTTGTGTTTTGCTAGAAATGCAAGTGGCTTTTTTATGTGTATACCTCGATAATTATAGTTCATGCTGCTTTGACTTAGTTTTTTTCATGTGGCTTTCATTTCTTCTTTTTATTAATCAACCATTAGTTTTTTGTCATACCTGATGCATGTTCACTTCTTTACTGTTTCATTGCTGAAATCCAGAAGCTAGACTCTCTTCTTTGAGACTCATTCAGGTATAGTTCTTATTCTAAAGACCTGCCTTTCTGTTATAGGTTGCTTACTCTGGAACATTTCTGTCTTTCAAATTGACAAAGCAGTAATAGTAGTGTCATAGAAACAAACAAAATGAAGTATAAGACCATTTGTGTTTTCACTTTGAATGTTTTTGTTGTTCATTACTAACTTTGAAGACAGATTGCATCTTTACCATTATTCTTTGGGAAACATTTGAGAGGAAGCGGTTCAATGGTATAGAAAGACTTAGTATCATTTCCCCATGTTTCTCTCTCCTGTGCTTTTTCTGGGATTGGGTTGGTGGTGTTTTACTGAGTTTCTGTAGTCTTGAGGTCAGTGTTTATGTCCTTGAATGTCTGAATGGAAGTCACAAAATTCTGGTGTGCTGGGGGAATCGTCAGTCTTGTATGCAAGTCAGTGGAACACAGGGTTTAACAATGATGATAAACTTTAATTTTTTTTAAAGGTACTGAGGTTTACTGGTAAGATTCTATCTAAATGTAAGCTCTCTTTTTTTTTTTCCCCTCATGTGAAACCTTCACTTTGTCATTTCATCCTGTGAGTTATTTGCTTAATTCTCATATAAGTATTCTGTGTTCCACTTGGTACTCTTTTTCTCTCTTTTTTTTTTTTTTTTTTTTGGTTGAACATGGTATTTATAGGATGGGGAAATACAATGTTTTTTACCCTCGCAGTTGTGTTAGTAATCCTTTCAGAGTACAGGCAAATCCACAGCACATTAAAGTTCTTGTCTGTCAACAGCTAGTTAAGTGTCATGCACAAGGTCAGACATTACACACAGATTTGCTACCCTATTTTTCTAGGAAGGAAATACATGCACTTATTTACTGCATGTGTTCTGATGCAGTTTTTGTTGAGCCCTTCTTTATTCTTAGAAGGAATTATTTTAACCATAAGTCCTGTTGCAGTTTACAAAGGGGGGGGGGAATAATCTGTTTGTTCTCTTAAAATCTCTTACTCTTCTTTATATAAAAACAGATATAACAGATTAGTTATCTATTCCAGTCTGTCTCCTGCAAACGCACCGTTAATTATACATAAAATAGAATTACTATATCTTTCCTAATTCTCACTGGTTTTTATTTTCACTACTTTCTTAGGGCTCTTCTAAAGCAAAAATGCATTCTACCTGTAGGAATTAATTACTGATTTTCTATCCAAACAATTAGCATTCTCTTTTTACACTTTCAAGTTAAAAATTTTACGCAAAATAGAGTATCACTTTTTCAATGGCAGACATTCCCTTTGTCCTAATAGCTTTACTCTGATTATTCTTCCTTTCCCCATCTCTGAGATTTTCTGTTCTGTCAAGGTTTATTAAATCTTTTCTGATGAAATTGGAATGTAACAGTTTATCACGGCAACACTGTAGTCTTATGTTTGATTTTTGTTAGTTATATTGACTGCTGATAAGTATAAAACTACTCTGTATACCTGGTGTTTAGTTTATAAACCCGTAAAAGTCTGAGTTCATACTGAAATTGAGCTTCCAGTAAAGTTGGACTCTTTCTGCAGAGGCTTGATTTTGTATCAACTGCTGCTATGTACGTGCTGAGTTTGATGAAGAGGGTTGTTAAAATAATAGTTTGTCACGACTGGAGACTTTTTGGTACTTTCAGTTAATTTCTGCTTCCCAGAACACTTCAAAGGTGCTGGAATTAAATGTGGTTTGATTCCACATGCAAAGCACTTCTAGCAGTGTTGTTGTGTGTTTGGTTTTGACCATGTCAGATTCTAATAAGGTGCAACAAAAGGACTTTTATTTGGCCCTGAATACTCATATTGCCTCATTTAAAAATTATTAATCAATGTGGAATACACAACACTATTAATTAGTAACACTACATACATTAATGTATGAAGCACCTTAAAGATTAAAAGCTGTACAGAATACTTATGCAAAGCAAAATCAGTACAAATACATTAAGTGACTATTTGTGTGATGTTAAAAGAAAATATGCAGAGGCATAAATTGCTGAATAGTGAATTAGTTCTTAACAGCCTTACCTACTTGTGTTTTCTATGGCAGTTTTCCAGGACGTACTTCTGTTTCTGAGCACCTGCTTTAGTTGGTCATTAAGGTTTTGGTGCTGTGCAGTCCACTTACTAATTGCTAGAGTTCCTGTGACTGAAACATACTAACTTTTTAAGCCTTTGGAACCTTCACTATCTTGTTAGCTTTTCAATAATGTGCTTAGTTCAAGTATTCATTCCCTACCCCCCCGTATACCTGTTAACTTGCCAATAGTCAGTTGTCAGTACTGGCTATGTTACCCATATGAATCGTAGTAAAACCTAATTATTCTAGTGCTTCCATGCTTCCTTGTAAATCTATTGCTAGAAATACTGCTGTTCAAAAGAATGCTGTCATGTGTCTTGTTTGATAATTTTAGATCTTGTTTGTTATAGAGATTTTAAATACTTAACTAGTGATTATGAAGGCATGCATTTCTGAAAAGGTGTATTTTTGCTTGTGTGAACGACTCAACTACACTGAGAAAAGAAAATTAGCAGATGTAGTGTGTTGTTGCATGAGTTGTATACATGTGTTGCGTGGAACAGCTAAAAGATAATCCTGTGCATGATTTCATGATACTTAATTTTTTTAATGCATGAAACTAGCAACAAAATGTGGTCTATGCAAAAGAGATGATCTGATTTTTTTTTTTTTTTTTTTGCTTAAGAATCTAATTGTATTCTTATTTGACAGTAAAAGTAATTCAGTATATTGCTTAGAAGTTCATGGTCATTTACTGTGCTAAAACACTAAAATCAAGGAGTTAATAATTCTAATATCTAAACCAGGCAGTTATGTATATATTTAAAAGCAAATCTATACAGACTTGCTCATCTTCATTTGAAGAAGAAGAAAGTTCCTAAACACTGGCTTTGAGTGAAAATTCTTTGTTATTCGTTCTATGTAATTTTACAGAAGTACTTTGGAAACTATCCCCATTTTGTCCACCACTGGCTTTTTGTAGGCTGTGTATGTAATATTTTAGTAGTTGATTACAGCACATCTAAAATAGATAAAAATACATATTTTTTTTAAGAGATACCTTAGTAAAAAGGCCAGTGGATCTATTAACAAGTCACACTTGTTTTCCATCACCTTTTTAGTAATGATCAAAAATCTAAAAGCTATGTGAATGTTTTTTCTTAGGCTCTTGCAGTTTGGCTTCAGGTAGCATTTACTAGTCCTTCCACATGAAGAATAATAGATAAGCTATCCATTAACCTTATTTCCTTTGTGATTTCAAGCCCTTACCTCATCCTATATCCTGAAGGGTACTGAAGTTGTTAGTGTCAGCTGACTTGTGCTATATGCTTAGGGTTGCTATGTAAATTTGAGCTTTTAGTTATAGAATGAGCATCTCTGGGAATGAAAATTTGGAGAATTTCCTGCATATGTCATGAAAATTTTCTTCTTGGAGATGGAGTGTGCTAACCGGAAACTGTAGGTTTGAAGGTATGCATAATAGTGGAGAGATGGTATTAGTTTGTCCTTGAGATATGACAAAATAAAGGAATGTAAGCATTAGCAATGACAAAAGAAAATTCCTGATACTTAAGCCTCGGGTGGGTGGGACTGTAAGGGGTTTTGTCTGATTTGGGAAACAGCCTTTGTAAGCACCTGTTTCTTACTAGTCTCCCGAGAAACTTCCTATAATTAATGTAATTAATTCAGTCTTCACTTAATGTTAGCTCTTAAATATAGACTACCGAAACAGACTGCCTTACTAATTTGGCGGTGACATTATTTGCCTTGGCTATACCTGTATTCCTTTCAATGTGAAACAAGAATGAATAATGAAATCTTCATCGTAATGGAGATCTGACTGCCTTGATTGCCATCGGTTCTTCATGTGTAACTTCTGGCTTGGTTTCAGGTAGCCAGCTTGGTTGGTCAGTTTAAGACTGCAGTTCTTGAGACATGTATGTGCTTGATTTTAGGCACAGATAATGATCTGTAATTACATTTTTAGAAGATATGCATGGGGAGCTATGAGAAGTTACCATGAATGAGAAAGGGGTATGTTGTTAGTTCATTATTTACGGATTAGGAAATGGCTACTATCTTTGTGGATTTGGATTCCCTCCCAACTTGTAGAAGATTCAGTGAGTTGTGGTAGTGTTTTGGTAGCTGACACTTCTGTAAAATGCATTTCAGACTTCAGTCCCTGAAGGATGTTGGATATGTGGCAGGTAAGAGGTTATAATGCAGTTAGATTGTTCGATCTTTTGGTTTAAGTATGAAGTCTATGCCTTGTCCATTTATATTGAAGGTATTGACTCTGATACATTGATCAAAAATAAAGTGAGCTTGTTCATGATATTGGCTCTAGACATTATTTAAGAACCTGGAATGAAACTATTTCTGGTTTTATGGGATAGCTAAAGTCTATAGATAAGCAGAATAAGTAAGTCCAGTTTGGGAATGTGCATTCAACATAATTACTTTCTTTCTGAGGTATTGCTGGTTCTCTTAATTATGCTGTTCCAAATGTAGGTGTTTTTAAGTAGTAGGTAAGGAAATGCACGCTTGTGGAAATGGCTTTTTGTAAGGT